GTCTACATGTGTTTTGTGGACTTGGAGAAGGTGTTTGACCGTGTCCCTCGGGTACTCCTGTGATGGGTACTCTGGGAGTATGGGGTACCAGATCCATTGATACGGGCTGTTAGGTTCCTGTACGACTGGTGCCAAAGCTTGTTCCACATTGCTGGTAGTAAGTCGGACTCGTTTCCGGTGAGAGTTGGACTCCGCCAAGGTTGCCCTTTGTCACGGATTCTGTTCATAACTTTTACGGACAGAATTTCTAGGCACAGCCAAGGTGTTGAGGGGATCCTTTTTGGTGACCTTAGGATCACGTCTCTGCTTTTTGCAGATGATGTGGTCTTACTGGCTTCATCAGATYGTGATCTCCGGCTCTCACTGGAGTGGTTCGCAGCCGAGYGTGAAGCGTCCGGGATAAGGATCAGTGCCTCCAAATCCGAGACCATGGTCTTGAGCCGGGAAACGGTAGCGTGCCATCTCCGCGTCAGGGAGGAGGTCCTGCCCCAAGTGGAGGAGTTTAAGTATCTTGGGGTCTTGTTCACAAATGAGGGAAGAATAGAGTGGGAGATCAACAGGCGGATTGGTTCTGCATCTGCATTGATGTGGGTGCGGTACCGGTCTGTCATGGTGAAGCGAGAGCTGAGCCAGAAGGTGAAGCTCTTGATTTACCAGTCGGTCTACCTTCCTACCCTCATCTATGGTCACGAACTTTGAGTAGTGACCAAAAGAACGAGATTGCGGATACAAGCGGCCGAAACGAGTTTCCTTCGCAGGGTGTCTGGGCTCTCCCTTAGAGATAGGGTGAAAAGCTCAGTCATCTGGGACAGATTCCGAGTAGAGCCGCTGCTCCTCCACATCGAGAGAAGCCAGTTGAGGTGACTCGGGCATCCGGTTAGGATGCCTCCCTGGTGAGGTGTTCCGGGCATGTCCCACTGAGAGGAGGCCAAGGCGAAGACCCAGGACACGCTGGAGGGACTATGTTTCTCAGCTGGCCTGGGAACACCTTGGGATTCGCCCGGATGAGCTGGCCCAAGTGGCTGGGGAGAGAGAAGTCTGGGTCTCTCTGCTTAAGGCTGTCACACTACAAGATTTTAAAACAGTCGGCCGATTTTCAAAGACTGATAGAGCCCACACGTGAGGATAAAAAAATCATGAATATACCAGGTTTGGTCCTACAGTGTGTGGTGTACAGTCACAYGGCAAGAGACAACACACCACACATGAAAAGATATTTCATTCATGAATATTCAGATGTCAGGTATTAAATCACGTGAGACTTCCTGAAATCTCATGAGAATTAAGATATTTGAGGAAAAATCTCACGTGACCGCCAGAGAAACCTGAGGTCAGAGTAAATAAACATTTGCAACAAGGAAGAAACAATTTTGATTGTTTGTGGACTATTTTTACCAAAGGAAAAACAGTTCCATAAGACTTTTAACATCTAGCAGACTTTCTGGTGAGTCATGACAGTATTTTGTCTTCTGTATTTGGAATCCCCTCCATGTTTACGTCACACCGCTTTCTGATTGGCTACACATCTCATTCAACAGGCTGAGAGCTCGGGTGAACACACTGTGATATCGGGCCAAAAAATCAAACATGTTGAATATCCCCGATTTAAGTCGGAGCGGTCCCGACATCCTTCCGAGCCGACTAGATCACTCTTAACTCACCACCCACGGCAGGAATATCTGCTATGATTATCGTTAGAGCATCACAATAAGCTGGACTTCCTTAAAGGAGACCAATTRTGGGTCCTAGAAATTTTTATGGTATGTCTGTGAGCTATCTAGACCATGTTCATTCAATTTAATGCACAAAATAATTCTCAGATAATAAAATTTCCCATTTTCTAGTTCTGCCTGCTCTGACTTCTGTTCAGAACGAGCTGTTTATGTTAATGAGCTCTGTTGGTAACGCCCTCCAAAAATCTGTTGACATTAACTCCGCCCTCCAAAGCCAGCATTTGGCTAGTAATAGCAGAAGCTCCATTTTACAACCGTGTATATGAGACCCAGAGGCAGACCCAGAGGCAGAGTCGCAGTCGCAGCTTTTTTTTCTCCCCCTCCTCCTGTGTCGGAGCTCTGCACTCACTCTGCATGCTGTTACCAGGGCAGGTAATGGGAGTAGCAGTGGTCAAAATACCTCAGAAACTCAAACAAATAGGCTAAAGCTAAACAATAGAGGTACATGAGAAAACGTGTTCATAACGAACAAAAATAAATAATTAATTGTTTGTGTCCGTGTCGAGCCCTGGTATCCCACTCTGTGGTCCAACACTCTACCCATTGCCCTATTAGAAGGCTTGTTGTGAAATGAGCTGCGCATTGTACAACAACAACCGTGACGGCTTTTTATACTGAGGAGGTGGAGTCTCACCCGGGGGTTCCTAGGTGAGGGGCTGAACGCAGATTGCAGTGGGTTATCGTACGGCTTGTGACATCACATAATGTAGGAAGTATAAAACTTGTCATTAATATACATTAAAAATACATTTACTTACAGTAAATATGCCCCTGGGTGCATTGTTTTGGTCCTAGGACTGTTTTTTTAGAAGTACATACCCAAAGTTGCGTAAAAAAAGACTTTTAAAAAGTGAATTTTGCATAATAGGTCCCCTTTAAGGTTGTCGGAAGGGCAAAAATGATTTTCTTGTAGTGTGACGCTGGCCTTAGGTGGCTTCCCCCACGACCCGACCTTGGATAAGCGGCAGAAAACAGATGGACGGACAGAATAAAAGCATTAAAACAACAGAGTCAATGCTGACTCAGCATTCAGACAACAATGTAATAACTTGATATAGTTAAAGTAACAATTCAGCTGCTAAAAAATGGATTCACCGAACATTTTAGGGGATTTGAAAAATTACTCATTCATTTATATATTTTTTTTCACTTCTGGTTGTTCAGATCTACCCCCACCTCCAGAGCCCCCACCAGAGGAGGACAGGCTCCAAGAGGCCCAGGGCCCATTGGACAACTCTCTGCTGTCCTTAGAGAGGAGTGAGTGCAGCAGCAGCAGCCCACAGAGGACAGGCTCTGGACACAGACACGTCAGCAGTAAGAAGCAGCTTTTATTTATTTCAGAATGACTTTAAAGTCAGACAGGTGGACTCTGAGTCTGAACTCCCTTAGGTCCACGCCAGACATTTGGCACATGGCACATGAAAAAGTTATAGCACAAAATGTCTGAATTTCAAAATTCAGCCCCGAACGAACCAAAGCTCCTAAAAATTGTGGATTGGCGTGGAGGCGTTCTGTGGGCCAGGGGCTTCGCAAGGACCCCAGGCCTGTACACTTGGCCCCCACGGTTAGCCCAGTAGAAAATCTGGAACATTTGGGAATGTGTTTCTAAATGTTCCAGTACCTCAAAATAGCCACCAGGTAGAGCAGTATTTCCCAAAGTTGGGGTCGGGACCCAAAGTGGGGTCCCGAAACATCAAGGTGGGGTCCTGAAAAGATTTTCTAAATTAATTACATTTTTGCCTTAGTTGTTACAAATGAGTGAGGTTAATGTATTTAAAATGGATAAATGTAGTATAAAAATATTGTTACTATGCCTATGTTTTGTTGACCTGATACAAATGTTTATCATCTAAAAAAAAAGCTGGGGGCWCAGGTCTCTGCTACTGTTATTTTGTGGGTCAAAAGCTGAAAAGTTTGGGAACCACTGCACTTTGGTTCCCAAAGTTGGGCTTGGGACCCAATTATGGGTCATGAAGCACCTTGGATAATCTCCAGAAATCAATTTAAAGGTAATAAAATAATTGCGGATGTAATATTTTCCTTATAATTATTACAAAAACACAAAATAAGTAAAAATAAGTATTTATATTTGTGTATAAACTGTTTAGATTGTCAAAAAGCCTGTGTTTTTAGGGTTATAAACGAAGCTCATGTACTCAGACCAGTAATATTTGGGGTCACAAGTTTTTGCCATGGATATTTTGTGGGTCAGAAGATAAAAAGTTTGGGAACCAATGAKGTAGAGCACCATAATTTCCAAATTTCCCAATGGACACTCTGGAACCATCAAATGTAATACAAAATGTCCCAATAGTTCCCATATGTGCCAATGGGGGACCCCCCCCCCCATGCTTCTTAAATGTCCCATGTGTCCCTGTGGGCCAAATGTCCCAAAAGGCAGAGGGTAGCTTCTCTGTTGTCCACATGTCTCTGTATGCCAAGTTTCCCATGTTTTTAGTTGCCAAGTGTCCGGAAGGCGGGGTTGCACGAGTGTCCCATGTGAATTTATGTGGCCCAATCATCGCAGTTTAATGTCTAAACAAGACTCAAAGCATGTCATGTGCACTGAGTCACTGCAAGGCCCTGAGAAACTCTTCCCCAAAAAGCCAAAGTCCAAATATGGAACAAAGTTTGTGTTTTTTTTACTGAACACTGTAAATATGAAATGGGACATTTGGCACACGTGATGATTGTGAGTTGACAATTGCCAAACGTTCCATTTAAAAGTTAACAAGGCTTCCCTAAGTTTTGAATAGGACATTTAGCACATGCAAGGTTCCTAATTGGACATTTGGCACACAATATAATGGGGAAGTCGTGATTCATGTCCAACCTGGAGCCACTAGTAAACCCTTGACTGGCTCCACAGGTACTGGTGGATCCTTGCTCCGCAAATGTCCCAGTTGTTCCCATGTGTCCCACCCCTTGCTCCTCAAAATTGCACTAAGTCTAGTTAGCAGACAGTTTGTGTAGAACTAGACCCTGCAGGAATTGCTCCTGATGGCCCCTGAGCCACATGGTCCAGTTGTTCAGGTGTAATAGAAAACGTTTAATCTTCGCTTTTAAAACAAGAAAGAACCTTTTTAACTTCTCCTGCACTCTTGTYTTCAGATGAAGAAGTGATGGCATACAGTAAGGCCAGCTACCTGTCCAGGAGTCAAATGTCCAGTAACTGCTCCACCACAGGAAGCTCGTCATCCAGAGGCTCCACCGGCTCCCGGGACCTCAACTCAGCTAAGAAACATGGAGAGGTATGACTCAGCGTCAGTAACATACTCTGGTTTTAGGGTGYTTTTAGAGTAAACTTGTGTCTTCTGTGATAACGTTTTGTAATCAAACTATCTGCCTCTGCAGGAAGGGAGATAAGGACATTGGAGGTTCTGTCTGTCCATCCCTCTCATCTCTCTATCTTGGACACAATGAGCTGAACAAAAGAAGCTAATGGTTTTCAGGAATCTAGAGACGTTACTGAGTGGAAGAAGAACGGACTCTCCTGATTTTTAGTATTAATATAATTATTTATGTCTGAGTTGTCTCATCTTTCTTTTGTAAATACCTCTCTGTTTGTACTTTTTTTTTCTGGGCAGTGGATTCGGGCAAAGAGACTTCTATTTGATTTAACAAGATAAAAAGAATAAATGTTAAAATCTCTTTTTTTGAATGTGCCAATGTTTTGGCTGAGCATAAACTGCTGTTGCACTCCTGCTGTGAAGGCAAAACAACAGAAAATATGAAGCACAAAGTGTGTTTGCTGGTTCAGAGGGAAAAGCCTGAGGTCCGAGCACTTCCTGCTGGACTTCTGCAGCCACGAAGTCCACTACGAATGTCTGCATTTTGTATGTTTCTGCTGGTTTCTGTACAGACATATGACCCTGACTGACTGGCACTATGAATGTTTGGTTTTATCCTCTTTAGTCTGTTTGAGAGACTGACTGCGGCCATTATGAAATAAACCTTTCATATGTTCCAAAAATGAAGAAAAGAGGTCCGTGGACTGACTTTTGTACTCTTGTTGTTTTGTAAATGCACAATAAAATACATTTGTTGATGTGTATTGGTATTATTTGTGGCAGACCAAGCTTTAACACAGTGTACATCATATAAGACAATAAACCCATCAAATCAGGTTTAAGCTGGGCCCATATTTATCAAACTTCTTTGAGTGAAATTTTAGACTAACATGCTGAAAACTTCTTAGCTTTCCTCCTACTCTCAGACTTAAGTGTAAAAGCAAGTTATCTAAATTCTTTCGAWAARTTAAGACAGCTCCAGAGGACTTAAGAGGTGCCACTGTGTGTGTGGACGGGTTTTTCCTACGTGTGGACAATTTTCCCAAAAAAAAAGGCAGCCTCGTGGGAACCAAAGTGAATCGTGGGAACCAATGCCAGGTYCCCACGGGTCCAAATGCAAATTATGGGCATGGGGTTAGGTTTAGGACCAAGGTTTAGGTTAGTTTTAGGGTCAGGTAGGTCCCAGTGAGGGTAATTTTAGGGTAAACGGAAAGGGTTCGGCTATAAAGTCTAAAAAAAATGAATGGAAGTCAATGGAAGGTCCCCATGGAGTTCAAGAACAAACGCATGTGTGTGTTTACTGGTATTC